AAGGCGACGCCCAGGTGTGGGGTGGAGGTGCGTGGGCGGGGGGCGGGGGACGACTGAGGGGCCACCCTGGGACGGCCTGGGCGGAGACACAGGGCGGCGCCCAGGCCTGGAGTGGAGGCGCTGCAGCAAGTGAGCTTCTGTGAGATGGGCAGTGCGGCAGGGGAGGCGCTGGTAACCGATGGGCTGAGAGGAGGGGCGAAGGCTGGCGGCGGGGGAGGCGCAGCTAGTGCTTGAGTACATCCGGAGGGCCTGGTGGCGAGCCCGGGCAGTGCTGTGGAGACGCAGGGTGGAGCAGAACGTGAGGACTGGTGTGGTGGTCAGGGGAGCGATGTGCATGGCCGCAGGCGAGGGCAGCTCCCAGGACTGATGGGTGGCGGGCAGAGCAGGGCAAAGGAGCAAGCAGAGCGGAACAGAGCCTAGTGGACGACGCGGGGGAGTGGCCGGCAGCTTGTGCCGTTTGGCTGAGTTTTGTGTCAGGTCCCAAGGAAGGTACAAGTGTGGCCTGGTGATAGGCCAGAGTGTGTTCTCAGCTCACGTCACCCTCTGTTGCCCTGTCGAATCCCAGGTGCCTAGCTACAGGGACACGAGAGGGCAGGCCTCTGCTCCCATGGCTTAAAAAGCCACCAGATCAGCATCACCCTCTGCCCACCTCTGCCAGGGACAGGAGGAAGGGCATCACGCCAGGCTCTTTTCTCCTAAGTTTGGGGAGGGGGGGCTCTTTTATGTTAAAGTTCTTGGCCAAATTTTTAAGAGTTTCAGAGGCAACCTGGGCAGACCAAATGTTTCATCCTACCCTGGGGTGAACAGACCTTCCTCCCTCCAAAAAAATAAAAGACTTCCCACCCGATTTAAGGGAGGTGGCTACCGCTCACCTTTCTGCTCCTGTGAGCCTGTGTAAACACGCACACCCCAGGCCTGCGGCCTGACCTTACTCATCCCGGGAGAAATTTTCTCAACAACAGTAGCCCCTTTCCTCCTAGTATTAGTCATATCAGTTCAATAAGCATTCATTAATGGCTGCTATGGCCAGGTCTGGGCTAGGCACTGAGAACACAGAAATTAATCAGACTTTGTATTTGAGAAGGTCAGAGCCGATGAGAAAAAAGACAAGGACACATTGGTAATGGCCATGAGAGACGCTTAAAATGCTGATGATAATGTGCAGAGAAATCGAGGCTCGTTCTCTAGGGGGTTGGTGCTGGGGGCCGGAGTGGGGAGGGGGTGGAGATCAGGGAAGGTGGTCTCTAGGAAAAGGGGGTGCCTGACAGGGGCCTTAGAGGAAGAAGGGTCAGATCTTGAGAGGGAAGGAGGGCAAGGCTGGGATCCGGTGGAGGAAGATGGACAGAGAGACTCAGAGAACCTTGTGCTTTGGGAACAGACCTTTGGGAGTATAGGCCCAGCCTCTCAGAAGCAGTGAGGCCATGCCTTGGTGTCCCCACAGGTGAAATGGTAATAGTGGTGGCAGTGGCCTACCCTGGGCAGGGTTTGGTGGTTCACTCTGCCCAGCCCTGTGTCCCTTTAAGGCCCTCTGCAGAGGGTCTCACGTGGCAGAGCTTTGAATGGCGCCACCCCTGTGCCCCCATAGGCTACAGGTGGGCCCAGGTACTGGTACCCTCAGTTCCCAGCATCCTCCCCTACTGATCGCAAGGTGCCCTAATAATGTCAGCATTTTCTGAATGTGCCATGTTGTGAAATGAAACCGGGTCGAGTCTTGAGAGACTGAGGTGTTGAAATCTAACCACCAAGGAGGCCTCCCTCCAGTTCTTGGTTCCTATAACCCCCAAACCCTTCGGGTGGAGGCGAGAGTAGAGACGGGAGGAGGTACAAGAGAAGAGGAAATTGGCATGTTGCAAGCAGAGACTGGCTCAAAAGCCCCAAGTACCAAGGTGTCTAATATTCCCCTGTCTGGTCAGTGTAGAAAACTGGTCCTTTGGCCTTCACTGGGTCAGAATCCACCTCTCCTGGCGGCCTGGCAAGGACTGAGACCCCAGGATGCCTTGTCAGCCAGCATAGCTCACACAGGCCTCGTCCTGCTTGGTGCTCCTCAGAGCAGCAGCCGTTCTTGCCCCCTTCCAGCTCCACCTCTGCAAGGAGTGGTATGGAGCTTGTGTCTCCTTCCCACCTTGGTGAAGAAGGGCCCTGAGGCCTCTTCTGTGGCTACTCCCTGCTCTGTAACGTCTCTCGAGGGTCTGGATCACCAGGGATAGGCGGCACCCAGAGCACTGGCCAGTTAACCCAGTTCCCCTCCCTAGATTGATTTCAGTAACTTCTGCATTCGAAACCGTTCAAATATGTCCCATTCCTAGGACAGAAGCACAGCTGTTCTCAAGGGATTTACCTGCCACAGGGCTAAGGCCTCAGCCCCAAGCTGCGGCTGACCCACACCCCTGTGACAGGGCTCTGGAAACAGAGTGCCGGGCAGGAGGGAAACTGGCACGAACTTCCCCCTCTGGCCCTCCTGCAAAACGTGGGGGAAGGAGGCTGAGCGCATGAGCTCTAAAGCCCCCTTCTTCCGGAATGCACCCAGCTCTTTGGGGCCAGGTGGGCTGCCTGATGAGGGGTCCCCCTGGAGATTCAGGCTGTCACGTGATATTTGGTGGTGTGTGTTCTTACGTGTTTGTTGGTTACATGTGTCTTGACATTTAGAATCATTTCCCACAGCATCGTTGCTTTGTCGGGAAGGGAAAATGGGCTGGAAGACGCCCAGCCTTAGGTTTCTGCCCCTCTTACCATTTAAAATTGACATTTAATTTTTCAAATCACTGTTGGTGCCTAATCACTTAAGTTATTAATTTATTCTGTTTTCTTTTTAAAAAAAAAATTTGTAACACGTATTTATCCTGTGAGTAGGTCTGGGGAGGGGTGGGAACGTGTTCACATGGGTCCTGTTTTCGCTGTGGTGACACATGGTACAGGCCTGGAGCTTGCAGGTCCCTTTTTACTATGGTGTTGGGTCTGGACAACAATAAAGTCCATTAGACGCAACCAGGAGGGCTGCTGAGTGTGTCTCGTCCGGAGGGGCTGGGGATGGAATGCACACACACTGGGATCCCGGCTCGGGGCTGCTGGCTGTAGGCCTGCAAACGACACCTGCCCTCAACGGGATAATCCTTCCTGTCACAGTCCCAGGACAGCGCTGTGCCAGTCTGCTCCACTTTCATTTGAACAGGAAATAACTGGGTATCTTTCTTGGCTGAGAACACATGTGAATCTTCCTTACCTCGGAAAATTGTACTCCTGGTGCATGAAATGGAAATTGTAGTGACATCTGCCAATTCGTCTTTCTTAGGAGGCTCAATGGACCAAAGAGATGAATTCTGAGCATGGCTCTGTCTCAGACAGACGACTGTCGGCCCACTTTCGCTGGTCCCTGAGGTCTCAAGGGTCTATGGCTTTTGGGCCCAAACTCCTCCACCTGCAGCCCCTGAAGCCCCCCCGGCCAGGCCACTGCAGTCCCAAGCTCCAAGATGGCTGGAACCTGAGGGCTGCCGCCTACTTTCCTCCTGGCCCGAGCCCAGCCCACCCCACCCCAGATTCTCAGAGGTAAGAAGGGAGGAATGTGGTAGCAGCAGCGATCTCTGAGCAGCCCAGCGTTCCTGGGGTCTGGAGGAGCTCCAGCCCGCCCTGACAGATGAGTCCCTTAACAGTATCCTGTTAGGGTGGCCCCCAGCCTGTGCACCCACCCCTCCACCCCTATCAATCAATCATCTGGGCACATCCCCGCCACCAGTCCTCACTGCTGATTGCTTTACACAGCACTTCAGTGTAGGGCACGCTTGCCTCCCCTGGGGCAGCACACAAGTCAGCAGGGCAGGGGCTGGTGTCCCCTCCTTCCTGTCCAGACACAGCAAGAAACCAAGGGTAGAGCCGACCTCACAGCCAGTGACCTCACAGCCAGTGACCTCACAGCCAGTGACTGAGGCGGGAAGAACGACGGCTTTAAAGGCTTCAGAGAGAGAACCTATTTTTATTCCTGTTTGAGACCCTGGTTCCCTTCTCTCCATTTAGAAGGGGTACAGCAGGGTCAGGGCACAATGAGGTCAGTATCTGCTCCTCACCAGACCGGCCCCATGATGACGGCCAACTGCTGAGGCGCTGAGCCAGCCAGCTTCCCTCAGGACAGACGTGAGAAACAACACAAACAAACAAACATACTTGCAGGAAACTAAGGATGCGCTCGCTCGCTCTTAACCAGAAGGGGGAGGCAAATGGTGGCATCTCAGGCACTGAGGCAGGAGAAAGGCTTAAGAGGCTGTCCTCCCCTCTGTGCGTTGTTGCTTGGTGTCGGGAGGACAGTCTCTGGTCCTGTGCCAGCCTGCTTCCCACCTACACTCCTCTCAAAAAAAGTACAAACAAACAGTGTAGGCACCCACAGACGTTGCCTCAGGCCCCTCAGAGAAACCAGAAGGCGGCCAGAGGGGTGACACACAGCCGCCTTCTTTGTGCTAGGGCTTGGCTCTGCCTCTGCTTTGTATACCACAGAGCAACAAGATTGTCTGAAAGGAGCCGGGAAGGAACTGCTACTTAATGGCAAGAACACCAGCGCTGTGACGTTCAGCCCTGTGGGACAGCCTGCAGGGGGTAGGGGACAAGGCCCAGAGAGTGTCCATCTCAGCTGCTTCAAGCAGCTGAGGAAGTCTTAACGGGGCTGATCCCAGTGTTGGGGGCCTGAGGCCCGGTTTAAGGGGCTCGGGTCTCACCTCTGTATCTGAGTGAGTGAGTCTCCGTGTGCCCTTCGGGCTGAGGGCAGGGGCCCACGAGCCCCCGCTCCGTCTCTCTGGCCCTCGGAAGGGCCTGGCTTCAGGACTGGACCTGCGCAGCCTCCCTCAGACCCCACCTGGCCGAGCACCTCTGCCCGGGACCTGGGCCCCCCTCCCCCACCACCACCACCACTACCACTACTGAGGTTGCCTGTGGCACCCTCACAAGTGCTTAGCAGGCCAGGGGATGAGGGTTCCCATTAGAAGACCAGTCTGTGGAAGTCACCACCACTGCCACCTGCAGGGCTGCAGCCCCCCGGAGGGCCTTCATCCTCATCTTTGTCTTCGTCAAAGCCCCTCCCCCAGTGTGGAGATGTGGGGAGTGCAGAGATGTAGGCCGCCCTGCTCCGCGCCTCCTTCTCCTGCTCCTGGAAATACAGATGGGGATGGGGCCGGAAGCTTAACGGTCAGTCAGGCAGGCTCTGCAGCCTCGGTTCTCCCTGCATGCCCCCAATGCCACCCAGCCCTTCCAAGCATCACCCCAGTCCCCAGGGCCAGGCACAGAGGAGCCACAGCTTCTGCCCTAGAGGCACTCCAGCTTAGTGGGAGGATGGGTGGGACAGACCCATAGCCATCCTGTATCTAGGCTTCCAAAGCATTCTTCCTCCTCCCCCGAATAGAGAGAGACTCCCAGCGGGGCTTCCCTGGTGGCGCAGTGGTTGAGGGTCGGCATGCCTGCCGATGCAGGGGACACGGGTTCGTGCCCCGGTCCGGGAGGATCCCACATGCCGCGGAGCGGCTGGGCCCGTGAGCCACGGCCGCTGAGCCTGCGCGTCCGGAGCCTGTGGTCCGCAACGGCAGAGGCCACAGCAGTGAGAGGCCCGCGTACCGCCAAAAAAAAAAAAAAACAAACTAACTCACTCCCAGCCCCCTGAAGGAAAGGAACTCATTTCTACTAACTGGACTGTGAACAGCTGACAAGGGCCTGACATGGCACCAGAAAGCAGAAGGTGCAGACTTCAAAGGTCACCTCACAGCCCCCCGGGACCCTTCTGCAGGCTTCCTGGAGTGGCTGTCCAGCCTCTGCCTCTCAGGGCACGAGGAACCCTCTGCCAGCGAGGAAACTCGTCCTCCCGCTGAACTGAGGCCAGCCGTGGATTCGCCTTATTACCACGGGCCCAGCCCTGCCTCCACCTGGACAGCTCGGCAGAAACGCAAAAGCAGAGCCAGGGTCCCCACAGCACGCAGGTGCTGCTGGCCAGGGGCCCTGACGTGCCCGCACCGGCTGCCTGCGGCAGCACTCCTCAGGCCGGTCCGCACGCTGGCTGTTTGTTTCAGCTGCAAAGTATGTTGATACCACCCTCGACTCTACAGAGTGGAGTCGAAGGCTCAGAGAGAAGAGGCTCAGTGAGTCGGGCGGCCCCCCCATCCGCTCGTATCCACTACTCACAGAGAGAGACCCTCCTCCAGCACACTTATGACACCTTAATAAAAAACTGATCGTTCCTCATGTCTGTTCCTCTGAAGTATGGGGCTACGCTACGTCTGTCTGGCCCACCAATCTTCCCCAGCACTGAGTGATAGCTGAACGGATCAAGGGGAAAAGGAACAGACTCCAAGAGAGGAGCTGTCACCATCCGAGCCGGTGGGTGCTGGGAAGCCCCTCCGCCCCCGGGGTCTGCTCACCTGCAGGAAAAGGATGTTGTCTTTGGAAATGGCTTCCATCAAGTCTCTGTGGAGGGTGGGCTCTGCCCGGGCTCGCGGAGAGCCGGGCTCAGCGTCAGGCGCCGCCCGGGGCCGCTGCCGATAGACGAGCACGTAGGCGGTGTCCTTGGGGAAGAAGGAGGTGACGCTGCTGACAGACTCAAAGGAGGAGAAGGACACGCGGGTGTCGTTGAACAGGTACCACTGGTGGTCGGGCTCGGGCCCGTCAGCCGCTCCCGCGTTCGGGGCCGGGCGGGCCGCTCCCTCGCGGGCGTAGCAGTAGTAGTGGCCGCTCTCCGAGGACACCCCGGAGTGCACCACGACGCTGCAGAGGTCGTAGGCCTGGCCCCGGCCCCCGGCCAGCGGCAGCCGCAGCAGCAGGGGAATGGAGACGTCGTCCAGGATCTTGCGGCGCCGCATGGTGCGCAGGTCGAAGGAGAAGCGCAGCAGCGTCAGGACGAGGTAGCGCGGCCCCTGGCTCAGCTCCACCACCTTCTCGGCGTCCTGCAGGGAGGCGCACGACTCGCAGCGGTAGCGGTTCTCTGCCGTCAGCCTCTCGGGAGACAGGAAGTAGTTGACCAGGTCCAGGACCGAGCGGGAGCCCTCCGCAGAGGGGGCGGAAGCATTGCGGAGCGGCCCTGGGCCCAGGCCGGCCTCCTCCTCCTCGGCCTCCTCCTCTTCCACCTCCTCCTCCTCCTCTTCCTCCTCCTTTGCCACCTCCTCCTGACTGCTCTGCCCCCCGGGGCCCTGGGGGCCCAGGCCTTCAATGTTCAGGACGGTGGGGGGAACGTCCCCTGTGATGCAGTGCTTCCTCTGCCTCCGAGGAGCCGCCCTGCTTGGCGCCTGGGCTCGCGATGGCGAAGGGAGGTCCTGGGCGCCGACGTCCTCTGCAGGGAGCATCACTGAGCCCAGGCGGCGGCGGCGGCGGCAGCGCTCAGGCGGGGGAAAGGCGAGAGAGAGGTCCGTGAAGGCCTCCTCCCTGGTGGAGATGTTAAGGCAGCGGAGACAGCATATCCGAGTCACGATCTTGCCCCCGAACATCTTCTCCACAGAGGTTGGGCTCGGGCTAAGGGGCTCCTCGGGCGGGGAGGGCAAGCTGGACTGCTTGAGCTTTTGGCAGATCCTCGTCCCAGTTTTCTCCTCTTCATGCAGCCTGGTGCAGGGAGCAAAGGGCCTTCGTCCATACACACAGACCCATCCCCAGTGCACTGGCCGGACCTGTGCATCTACCTTACTCAGCTGGACACATGTTTACACGCATGCAGGAGAAGGCACGGGGAACATACATATGCATGTACAAAATGGCATCCGTGCACATGCACTCGTAAGCCAGGCACACATGCTACATACTTACCTGCATAAGGCTCACAAACCTGCCACAAAAAGACGTGCATGTGCCCCCAGAGAGCTGATGAGAAAACACACATGCACACTCAGGCAAGCACAGCATAGTGTACATACACACACTTACCCTCCCAGTCACGGTTCATGTCAGCATCTCCAAAACTTCCCTCCCACTCGGCCCCTGTCCCCACACTCACGACACACATCTGCTCCAAGCCTTTCACAAGCGCAGGGCTGTGCCCCCGTTTCCAGGAAGAGACGACACAGCCCGGGGTGGGGGTGGGGGGGCGCTTTCCCTCGAGCACCCTCTCCAGACCTGGAGCCCCCAGGCAGAGCCAGGCCTGGCCTCCCTTACCGATCCAGCAGGTACTTCAGGTACTCCGAGCAGTCCTGCTGCGTGCCAGGGCTGAACCAGGGTGTCCAGGATGCAGACAGAAAGCTCTCTGGAGAAATGGCAGGCCGCTAGGACCAAGGAGGGAGAAAGACAGGGCCAGGAGCCAGGGCCACTCACCAACCAGCGCCACAGCATGCTAGGCCTGAGGACGGCCCTGGGGACTCTCTGCCCCAAACTTCCAGCCTCCCCACTAAAGTCCTCCCCCTTCCCTGACTTCATCCCACCAAGGCCATGCAGCCTATAAGCAGGACATCAGGTCATGGAGGTGAACAATCCTCCGGGAGTCTGCTCCTCCCTGACACACCTCACATTTCACTCCAGGCCCTCATTCGTTGCCATTCCCTCTGCCTGAAACACCCTTCGCCCCTGTCAGGAGCTTAGCTATGGAGTCCAAGTCCCAGGTGCAGTTAGTGTCACCTGTCCCACAGTGTCTTCCCAACAGCCCCCATGCCCATCATGACCAGCTCTTCCTCCCTAATACGCACACTACACTCGCGTTCCCTCTGCTCGAGCACTACAGTTGCTATCTGCAGGTTCCTCTTCCCCTCCAGACTACGCGCTCCGTGGAGGCAGGACTGTGGCTGACTCATCTCTGTGCCCCTGCACAGGGCCTAGCATAATGCCTGCCTGGCCAAGGGCTTTAGGTTCCAGGAGGGCAGAGAGAGGGATTAAAACAAATACAGCCCTCAGGGTGCCTGGCAGGCAATATGAGTGCTCAAAAATGACAGCAGACCAACAAAGCAACACCTAATAGAATGGACTGAACCACTGATGGGAGAGATGTGGGCAGCACAGCACAGAGGGGCTCAGGAGGCACTCCCTCGCCTGCCCGGTAAGGGCGCTGAATCGGCCCCTTGGGGCTTTAGCTGTGAACCCATGCCAGCCTGGACTGGGGCCCAACAACTCACACCAGAAAGTGGGAGCCCACAGCCAGATGCAGGCAGGTCGTGGGGAAGGGGAGGGCTCAGACCGGGCCTCCTCTCCAGCACCCCCGACTCCCCCTGCGCTCACCTGGCTGTGCTCCAGGAAGGCGAAGAGCCACTGCAGCTTGGTCATCAAGGGCTGGGAGTTGTTCTCAGTCAGACGGAGCACACAGTGTCTGAAACTTCCAAACAGAGCGGGGCACCTGGAGTAAGCCAAGGGCACCCAAAGAACCTCTGCTCCCCCATCCTGTGGCAACCCAAGGACTCCAAGCTCAAATCTGGGCCAGGCGCCAGGGAAGAGGAGCAGGTGAACAGCTCGGCTCGCAGGTGACCCCTGCAGTCCCTTCCAGTTCTAACAGCCCACGACTCCACAATTTGAAGATTCGAATGTCCTAAGGTCTCGTGGTCTCAGGGTTTTAAAGTTGGAACTCTCAGACATGCTCCAGAGTCCATGCCAATAGCACCACCAGCCACTCACACCCCTTCTCCCTGCTTCCCCGAGAAATGGCGTTCAGACCCATCCAGAGCAGCACGCCCTGCTCCAACCTTGGCCCTCCAAGCCAACTATTACGGCCCCTTCTCAGGGCCCCTGCCACCCCAAGTTGTCCCTCTGCCTTCGAATGGGAGGGGGGTCACTGTGAGGAATATGCTGAAAAAAGAGGACGGGAGTAGACTGGGGCTCATGAAGGGGTCTGATCCCATGGGAGATAAGAAAGAGCCCCTCCTGACAACCACATTCCCTGGAACAAGCCAATTCCCAAGCCCCAGCTGAGCTCCTGTTCTCCCAAGAAGCTCTGGCTAGACAGGTAGGCATCTCTCCAACCTGCACCCACGGTGCGGGACAGTATAACCAAAGTGCGGTCCACTCAGCAGTCTGTGACAAAGTTCAGAAACTGAGACTTTAGAACCTTGTATAGTGATTTGACAGTACTATGACCGTACAAGCACACGATCATTTCCTAGTAAGTCATTTTATTGTATTCTACAAAGGGAAGAGTCTGCAGCAGACTGGAAGTTCAAAAAACGAAACAAAACTAGTCCTTCCCCAGGCAGTTTGAGAAGCACAAGAGCAGCATGTTAGGGCTTCCTAGAGTTCAGCTCCAACCTCCTCCTGGAGCTGAAGCTCAGAGAAGAAACTGCCTGGAGGTCCTACCACAGCCAAAACCAAGGCTTAGTTCCACTGTGACTTTTGAAAAAGATGTCTAAGCGTGGTACTGGTGAAACACACACACTTGAAAAGATCAATAGAACAGAATAAAGAGCCCAGAAACAGACCCCCATAAATATAGTCAACTGATCGTTGACAAAGGAGCAAAGGCAATATGATGGAGCAGAGAAAATCAGGTCAACAAATGGTATTGGAACAAGTATACATCCAAAACCAAAAAAATGAATCTGAACACAAACCCTACACCTGTCACCAAAATTAACTCCAAATGGATCATAGACCTAAGTGTAAAATTCAAAACTATAAAACTCTTAGAAAATAACAGGAGAAACCTAGTGACCTTGAGTGTGGTGAGGCCTTTTTAGACACATCACCAAAGACACAATCCATGAGAGAAATAATTGATAAGCTGGATTTCACTGAAATTAAAAAATTCTGTTCAGTACAGTATCAAGAGAATTCGAAGACAAACCAGAGACCGGGAGAAAATATTTGTAAAACACACATCTGATAAAGGACTGTTGTTAAAAAAAAAAAAAAAAAAACCCTTAAAACTAAACGATAAGAAAACAAACAACCTGATTAAAAAGTGAGCCAAACATTTTAACAAATATCTCACACACACAAAAAATTATATATATGTGTGTATGTATGTATGTATATATTGTATGTATGTATATATATATATATATATATATATATATATATGTATACACACACACACACACACAGATGGTAAATCATCATGTCAATCAGGGAAATACAAATTAAAACAACAATGAGATACCGCTGCACACCTATTAGAAAGGCTAAAATCCAGAACACTGACAACACCAAATGCTAGCAAGGATGTGGAGCAACAGGGACTCTCATTCATTGCTGGTGGGAATGCAAAATGGTACAGCCACTTTGGAAGACAGTTTTGCAGTTTCTTACACAACTAAACATACTCTTCCCATCCTATGCAGCAATCACACTCTTTGGTATTTACCCAAAGGAGCTGAAACCTTATATCCACACAAAAACCTGCACAGGGATGTTGATGCAAGCTTTATTTAGAATTGCCAAAACTTGGAAGCAACTAACGTGTCCCTTCAGTAGGTTAATGGATAAATGGCACTGTGGTACATCCTGGCAATGGAATATTATTCAGTGCCAAAAAGAAATGAGCTATCAAGCCACAAAAAGAAGTGGAGCAACCTTAAATGCATATTGCTAACTGAAAGAAGCCAATCTGAAAAGGCTACATACTATATGATTCCAAATATATGATTCCAAATGTATGATTCTGGAAAAGGCAAAACTATGGAAACAGTAAAAAGGTTGCCAGGAGTTAGAGGGGGATGAACAGATAGAGCAGAGGATTTTTAGGGCAGTGAAAATACACTAGATGAACCTCTGGAACAACATTAAATGCACCATTTGCATTACAGGGGTCCCAGAAGGAGAAGAGAGAGAAAGGGCATGAGAAAATATTTGAAGATTTAATAGCTGAAGACTTCCCTAACATGGGAAAGGAGGAATACATCGGCACATATTAATCAAATTGACAAAAATTAAAGACAAAGAGAAAATATTAAAAGCAACAAGCGGAAACCAACAAGTAATATACAAGGGAATCCCCATAAGGTTATCAGCTGATTTTTCAGCAGAAACTCTGCAGGCCAGAAAGGAGTGGTATGATATTTTTAAAGCAATAAAAGGGAAAAACCTACAACCAAGAATACTCTACCCAGCAAGGCTCTCATTCAGATTCGACAGAGAAATCAAAAGCTTTTACAGACAAGCAAAAGCTAAAACAATTCAGCACCACCAAACCAGCTTTACAACAAATGCTAAAGGGACTTCTCTAGGCAGAAAAGAAAAGGCCACAACTAGAAATAAGAAAATTATGAATGGGAAAGCTCACTGGTAAAGGCAAACATACAATAAAGGTAGGAAATCATCCACACACAAGTATGATACCAAAACTAGCAATTATGAAGAGAGAAGAGTACAAATGCAGGATATTGGAAATGCACTGGAAATTAAGAAACCAGAAACTTAAAAAGCAAGCTTGCATATATGTACAGACTACTATATCAGAACCCCATGGTAACTGAAAACCAAACATCTACTCTACGCTAGATACATACACAAAAAAAGAAAAAGGAATCCAAACTCAACACTGAAGATAGTCATCAAATCACAGGAAAAGAGAACAAAGAGGAAGGGAAGGAAAAAGACCTACAAAAACAAATTCAAGGGCTTCCCTGGTGGCACAGTGGTTGAGAGTCCACCTGCCAATGCAGGGGACACAGGTTCGGGCCCCGATCCGGGAAGATCCCACGTGCCACGGAGTGGCTGGGCCCGTGAGCCATGGCCCCTGAGCCTGTGCATCCAGAGCCTGTGCTCCACAACGGGAGAGGCCACAACAGTGAGAGGCCCGCATAACGCAAAAAAAGAAAAAAAAAACAAATTCAAAACAATTAACAAGGGCTTCCCTGGTGGCGCAGTGGTTAAGAATCCGCCTGCCAGTGCAGGGGACACGGGTTTGAGCCCTGGTCCAGGAAAATCCCACATGCCGCAAAGCAACTAAGCCCATGCACCACAACTACTGAGGCTGCTCTCTAGAGCCTGTGCTCTGCAACAAGAGAAGCCACCACAACGAGAAGCCCGCACACTGCAATGAAGAGTAGCCCCCACTCGCCACAACCAGAGAAAGCCCGCGTGCAGCAACAAACACCCAACACAGCCCAAAATAAATAAAAATAAATTTATTTTAAAAAATTAACAAAATGGCAATAAGAACATACATATTGATAATTACCTTAAATGTAAATGGATTAAATGCTTCAACCAAAAGACACAGACTGGCCAAATGGATACAAAAACAAGTCCCATATATATACTGTCTACAAGAGACTCACACTTCAGGTCTAGGGACACATACAGACTGAAAATGAGGGGATAGAAAAAGGGTACTCCATGCAAATGGAAATCAGAAGAAACCTGGAGTAGCAATACTCATATCAGACAAAATAGACTTTGAAAGAAAGACTATTACTAGAGACAAAGGACACTACATAATGATCAAGGGATCAGTCCAAGAAGATATAACAATTATAAATATATGTGCACCCAACATAGGAGCACCTCAATATATAAGGCAAATACTAACAGCCATAAAAGGAGAAATCAACAGTAACACAATAATAGTGGGAGCCCTTAACGCCCCACTTTCATCAATGGACAGATCATCCAGACAGAAAATCAGTAAGGAAACACAGGCCTTGAATGACACATAAGACCAGATGAACTCAACAGATATTTATAGAGGATTCCATCCAAAAGCAGCAGAATATACATTCTTCTCAAGTGCACACGGAACATTCTCCAGGACTGACCACATGCTGGGCCACAAAGCAAATCTTGGTACATTTAAGAAACTTGAAATCATACCAAGCAGCTTTTCCGACCACAATTCTATGAGATTAGAAACTGATCACAGGGAGAGATCAAGATATCGGAGTAGCAGGACATGAAGTTCACCCTCTCCCACAAATACATCAAAAATATATCTACACGTGAAACAATTCTCACAGAATATCTACTGAACGCTGGCAGAAGACCTCAGACTGTTGAAAGGGCAAGAAAATCTCCACGTAACTGGGTGGGAAAAAAGAAAAAAAAGAAGAAAAGAAAGCAAGAAAGGAATTGGGACGGGACCTGCAACATTGGGAGGGAGCTATGAAAGAGGAAAGGTTCCTGCAACCTGGGAAGCCCCCTCACCAGCAGGGAGGTCAGCCAAGATAGAAGGGGAGCTTCAGAGCCTTTGAGGAGAGCGCAGCAACCTGTTTGAGGCAGCCAGAGCAGAGGGAGAACTGCAGAGATGGTCAGTGCCACCACCCTGTGCTCCCTAGCCTGACACACGTCTGCCAGAACTGAAAAGGGCTGGGTGCTGGAACTTGGGCTTTGGAGATCAGAACTGGGAAGAGGACTGGGGATGGCTGTGTGGAGACAGACAGGGGTGGG